GGTGGGGGGCTGCTGGGTGGCAGTGGTGGGGGGCTGCTGGGTGGTGGCCGACACCATTACAATGATTACAGACACACTGAATTCCCCCGAGGTGTTGGTGGTATTCCCTACAATGACTTCCATGTCCGAGGCCCCCCCCCAGTATATACCAACAGCAAACAGCTTGGCGGTAATTATAAGTACGGTCACGTTGAGGGCAACGACAACGCTGCTCAGCTGGGCGGCAAATACCGATATGGTGAGATCCTTGAGTCTGATGGAAGCATCAGGGACCTCCGAAACGGTGGCTATCGCAGTGCCGAGAATGCATATGGTGGCCACAGGAGTGTTGGGCGATACAGGTCAGCTGAAGGGTCGGCACCTATGGGCAGGCTTCACCGGCGAGAGCTGCGGCCTGGAGAAATCCCACCTGGTGTCGCCACTGGGGCGCTGGGCCCAGGTGGTTTGCTGGGCTCTGGAGGCATGCTGGCAGCCGATGGCATCTTGGCAGGCCAAGGTGGCCTGCTCGGCGGAGGTGGTCTCCTTGGTGACGGAGGACTTCTCGGAGGAGGGGGTGTCCTGGGCGTGCTCGGCGAGGGTGGCATCCTCAGCACCGTGCAAGGCATCACAGGGTAAGGAGGTGACGGGTTCTCTCCAGCAAGCCCTCATGGACCTCCAAATGGGGACCGTCACTCCTGGAAGCTGGGGTTGTGGGAAGGAAGGTCTTTGAAGCTTGGCCCCAGGATTGGACGTCTTAGGGGCCCCAAGTTATAGGGTTTGGGTCTTGGCATGAAACAGTCCTAAGTTTGAGACCCAGTTCAACCTTGCATGTTTGTGTGTGACTTTGGGCCATTGATGTCATTTCTCTGAGCCTCAGTTTTCTCATCTGTAGAATGATCATCGTAAAACAGTGTAAGTGGAAAAGAGCCCGAGGGTTTTAAAACTGTACATATATGTCATAAGTTCTACAATCTCAGCCTGCTCCTCACAGTCAGTTTTTAATTTAGCAAATATCTAGAGCTCCTACTATGTGCAGGGTACTATGTTGGCACTGGGGATATGACCCAACGGTAAGCCAGAAAAGACACATTCCTTGTCCTCAACGGAGCTTGCAGGCTGATGGGGTACATGGGCATTGATAAGAAGCCTAAAAATAATCATACAGTTTCAACAGTGGTGAGAAGTTCGTGGATAAATAAGAATGTCTACAACGGGGAAGCTCACCTACCTAGGGACATCAAGGGAGGCTTCCTGGAGGAAGAGGGCCTTAAGTTAAAATCTGAAGGATGTATAGAAGGGAACTAAGCAAGAGGAACCTATACGTATAGGAGGGAACCAGGCAAGAGGGGCAGGGATGAGCAGAGGGAATGGCATCTCGACATGCAGAGGAAAAGAAAAGATTCAAAGGAAATATACGGAACCTACACAGCAGGCCTCTGGACATTGGGATTATGGGGCGTGGCATTTTGCCTTAATTTCTCTGTTATCCACGTTCTGTCCTTGAACTGCAGGTGTCTGATGTCTTTAGAGCCAGCAGGAACAGACAGGGAGCAGAGAAAGGGAATGTGGAGGAGGGTGCCTGGTGAGTGGGTGGCAGTGTGGGTGGCCAGCTTCTCACCATTCTGTATCCCGAGCAGGCTGCGTATTGTGGAGCTGACCCTCCCTCGGGTGTCTGTGCGGCTCCTGCCTGGCGTGGGTGTCTACCTGAGCTTGTATACCCGTGTGGCCATCAACGGAAAGAGGTGCGTGCCCTTGGCCCTGGAAGGGTCCCCACCACCCCATGGCCCAGCCTCTGAATCCAGAACACAGAGACTAGGAAGACCGAAACTTTTGCCAGTGCATGCCCACAGACTTGGACCCGGGGCCATCTGTCTGCTGTGAAAACAGCCTAGCTCAGTGGTTAAGCATTAAGATCTGGGAGGCTGGACCTGACGTGGTGGCTCACTCCTATCAACCCAGCACCTTGGGAGGCTGAGGCTGGTGGATCACCTGAGGTCAGGAGATCGAGACCAGCCTGGCTAGCATGGTGAAACCCCATCTTTACTAAAAATGCAAAAATTAGCTGGGCATTGTATTGGATGCCTGTAATCCCAGCTACCTGGGAGGCTGAGGCAGGAGAATTGCTTGAACCTGGGAGGCGGAGGTTACAGTGAGCCGAGACCTGCCATTGCACTCCAGCCTGGGCAACAAGACTGAAACTCAGTCTCTAAATAAATAAATAAAAAGTTCTGGGAGGCTGGAGTCAGGTGATAGCTTGGGTTTGAATCCTGACTCTCTCATAAGCTGTGTGACCTTGGGTCAGTCCTCCAATGTCACTGAACCTTAGTGCCTTCACTGGCAATGGGATCATGAGACCACTCCCTTTCCAGACTGTGGCTATGAATAAAGACAAGCAAAATGTGTCCTGGAATAGGGCCTGCCGCGCACCAGGCGCTGGAGGACCTCAGAGGGTGGGCTTCCGTGTGGACTGACCCCCGCAGGATGAGGTTGTGTCCACCAACCTAGACGACCGGGCAGTCACCTTGGAAACCAGAATGTGTGCTGGGCCCTGTTCCCAGCCTTTCCGCTTCTGCGCTGAGGGGGAGCCCATGTGACCTGAGGGACCGGGGAAGACTTCCGGTTCGGGTTCCTTAGAGATGAGCAAGGAGCATAACGGACGGCAGGATCGGCAAGGGCAGGCCTGGGTAGGGGCGAGCTCCTGGCAGCTGGGGGGTGACTCATGGTGTCCCTGGCCCCTTGGCCTCCTCCAGTCTCATCGGCTTCCTGGACATCGCAGTGGAAGTGAACATCACAGCCAAGGTCCGGCTGACCATGGACCGCACGGGCTATCCTCGGCTGGTCATTGAGCGATGTGACACCCTCCTGGGGGGCATCAAAGTCAAGCTGCTGCGAGGGTGAGTGCCTTGGGGGATGCTGGAGCAGTCTGTCTTTGGCAAACGACATGGCGGCGCCACCCCCAGGGTGAAACATTCTAATCAGGGCTTTATCTCAAGAAATTCTTCACTTTGCTGAATTGGCGCAGCACTAAACAGTCAGCTATAGCCTCAGAACGGGGAACCCAGGCAGTGCTCGGCGAGGGAGGGAGAGCAGGTGTCAAGAGGTCCAGCGGTCAGGGACACTTCGGTGTGGGATGGTCATGCCTCCTTCGTCTCCTCATCACCGCAGGTCCCTGGAAACAAATGCTTAGACTAAAAGTCTGTCTGCCCATCTATATATCTTGTCTATCATCGATTTTCCTCCTTAACTAACAGCTTGGGAGGGTTAGTTAAGAGCTGGCTGCAGTGGTGTGCACCTGTAGTCCCAGCTACTTGGGAGGCTGAAGCAGGAGGATTCTTGAGCCCGAGAATTCAAGGCTGCACTGAGTGGAGATTTTGCCACTGCACTTCAGCCTGGCCAGCAGAATGAGACCCTGTATCCTCTCTCATGGACCCACATGAGCACGTTTTATCAGCCAGTATTCCTCATTTCCTTCTTTCCACAAACATTTACTGAGCACCTACTATGTACTAGACAGTGAGTTAGATGCTTAGATGAGTAAACACGTTCATTTTCCCTTTGGGAAGACAACACAAGTTTGCAGCAAATGGCCCATTTGAGGGTCAGATCAGCAGGTGGCAATGACTTTCGCAGTTAAAACTCAGCAACCGGTGGCTCAAGCCTGTAATCCCAGTACTTTGGGAGGCCGAGGCGGGTGGATCACGAGGTCAAGAGATCGAGACCATCCTGGTCAACATGGTGAAACCCTGTCTTTACTAAAAATACAAAAAATCAGCTGGGCATGGTGGCGCGTGCCTGAAATCCCAGCTACTCAGGAGGCTGAGGCAGGAGAATTGCCTGAACCCGGGAGGCGGAGGTTGCAGTGAGCCGAGATCGCGCCATTGCACTCCAGCCTGGGTAACATGAGTGAAACTCCATCTCAAAAAAATACAAAACAAAGCAAAACAAAAAAACTCAGCAACATCCAAGGCTGGGCCTGGCCCATTGTAAAACTCAAGAGGCCTGGCTGTTGAATGAATGAATGAATGCATGCATGCATGAAAAGCCAAGCAATTTGCCTGGGTGGCCTGTCTTGTCAGGCCAAAGTGAATGTACTCTGTCCTTCCAGCTTTTGGAACAATTTTCCTGCACTCAGAGGCTCTCACTGCTCAGAGCCTGGGCTCAGGACCCCAGGGTGGACAGCCTTGGTGACCCCCATGGCTGCGAGCAGTGGCCTCACCCTGCTCCTGTCTCCTTAGGCTTCTCCCCAACCTCGTGGACAATTTAGTGAACCGAGTCCTGGCCAACGTCCTGCCTGACTTGGTAAGAAGCTGTCCCAGGATGGGAGCAAGGGGCACAGGCTCCCCCCAGACCAAGGGGCCAGAGTCCAGTCTCCATCCCTGGGGGCATGTGGGTGACCCAGAGGGACAGAGAGAGCCAGGGGCTGGGGCATGTTCTTGGGGGGTCTGTGGAGGACCCTGAGGAACATGAAGGGTCAGATTAGTGAAGGGCTAAGGAGAGGGAGCTTGAGATTTGCACAGTTCTGGGTTTGAATCCCGGCTTGGGCACTTCCTAGCTGGGTAACAAGTCACATCACTTTTCTGAACCTCAATTTTCCCATGTGTAAGTGGGGATTAGAGACAGTCTTCCCCACAGGGCTTTGGAGAGGACAGTACCTGGCACAGAGCAAGCAGTCGGTACATTTTAGCTGTTGTTACGCGTCCCCGACTCCCCGCAGCACATTGAGACTGTGTGCCGTTTCTCCCCTGCAGCTCTGCCCCATCGTGGACGTGGTGCTGGGTCTTGTCAATGACCAGCTGGGCCTCGTGGATTGTAAGTCCTTCCTGCTTTGCTTCACTGGCTGACATCTAAACCAGTGCCTGCTCTGGGCCCAGCTCTCGGGAAGGCATGGAGGACTGGGCCGTGTCTGGGAGGAGGGCTCAGCATGGTGGGGGCCACAGACCTCCCCTTGGGCCCTTGAAGTGAGGTGTGGCTAATACCACAAGAGAGGTGCCGCCTGGCTTCCCCTCTTGCCCCCAAACTTCCCCCCAAGTACCAGAGGGAGGAGCTTCCACCGGGGTCTGGGAGGTGATGGCCTTGTCCTGGGAGTCAGGAAGCTGGGTCTGAGCCCCGGCTCTGCCTGGAAGCTGTGTGGACTTGGAGAGGCTCTTTCCAGTTTCCTCCTCTCTCAAATCTCCCAATTCACAGAGGCGCTGGAGAGTGACTAGCAGGAGAGACACTGTGGGGACCGACCAGGGCCTCAGAACCAGGCTCCACCAGCATCTCGGGTCCTGGATTTCTGAGTGAACATTCCTGAAAGCAAGCCTGCCTCGTATGGTCGTGCCATTTGTGCACTGCATGATTCCAGGGAACCTCCTTTCACATAGATTACAGTGGAATGGCAGCACCTCCAATTGTGCAGTGCGCAACCTCCACAGCCACACAGGGCAGCCCTCTCTGATAGTGCTCCCATTTCTCTGGGACTCAAGGCAGTTTGAGAATGGCTTTCCAAGACAGGAAAATCTCCTTCCCTTTGTGACCAGAGATAAGGAAGGAAGAGCCCAGAAGGCGGGGCTGTTCGTTACACAGTCAAGGAAATGACACATTCAACTAAGCACCACATTGTGGAACCCTGAATTCTTTCCTTGGTGCATAGCACTTCAGAGTTTACAAAACTCATCAACATTCAGGATATCATTGTACCCCCTCTCCCCTTGCCAACGTAGTCCCAGAGGTTACAGGAAACCCATTTTACGGAGGAGGCAACTGAGGTTCAAAGAAATGCAGTGACTTGCTTGGGTTCACACCAGCAGGAAGAGGCAGAGCTGGGATTCAAACCCAGAACTTTTGCTCTTTTCATGGTGTCTGGAGCTGGAGCCTGGACCCACCTCGTCCATCCCTCAGCCACAGTGTACAAGGAGGGAAGGCATCTGGATGGTGAGGGGACCTCCCTGTGACCCTCTCTCTTGCCTGCAGCTCTGATTCCTCTTGGGATATTGGGAAGCATCCAGTACACCTTCTCCAGCCTCCCACTTGTGACTGGGGAATTCCTGGAGCTGGACCTCAACGTGAGTGCCGGGGGTTCAGGGCAAAGGGTGGTGGCCCTCCTCCCAAAGGCAGGGGTGTCCGTGAGGCTTTTCTGATTAGAAGAAGACCTTCTGGGAGCTGTGTTAGAAAACATGATCGTAGCCAACTTTCCCAGCTCCGGCTGTGTGCCAGGCACCTTCCACGTGCTTTGTGGTGATTAATTAATCTATCCTCATGGCAACCATAGGAGGCAGGCACTCTTTTTGAGGAAACTGAGGCAAAGAGAGGTTAAGCCACTTGCCCGAGGTCACACAGCTAATAAGTGTGGATCTGGTGTCTGAACCCAAGCAATCGGGCTACTAGGTGCTAAAAGAGCTGCTGCAGTGGGATTGGGTGTCCTGGAGGGACAGCTGTGGCCAGAGGTGTGCTGTAAGCATTTAACCACCAGCTGTCCACGATTGAAAAAAAAAAGTCCTAATGTGTAGCACTTGCTGATTTCCACGCTCTCAAAACCCCCACCACGGACAGCTTCAAGTCACCAACGTGACGTCGGTGAACACAGAGTTGGGAGGAGATGTGTGAAATACGATCTGGCCGCTCATTTTGTATGGGGCACACACATGTAGGTACTTTCCCTAGGCTACACGAACACAGACACCTCCCCACTTGCTCCATCAGATACAGAGATGCACGTGCGCATCTGTGCTCCCGTGTATACAGGCGCACCTGGGCATGCACACTTAATAGATTCATAAACATGCATCCATTCAAGAGACATTCATTGGGCACCCACTGTATGCCAGGCTCTGGGCTGAGTACTGGAGGTACAGTGATGAACAAGACCAAGTCTCTGCTCTGATTAGAATGTTTTGGAGGGGACAGACCACGAAGAATCACTCAAACAAATATGCAATTCTAAATCATGAGCACAGTGATCAAGGATCCGAGGCTATCAGAGCCTAAAGCAGGGGGTATATGATCTACCCAGAGAAGTCAAGGAGGGCTTCCTGAAGGAAGTGACCCTTGAGCTGAGAGCTGCCAGATTAGTAGAACTTAACAAGAGAAGAATGTGGGGAGGGAATATCCTGTGGGAAGGCCCTGTGGTGGGGGTGATGGTGTTGGGGGTCGGGGGAGACTGACAAAGCCCTGGTGACTGTGCAGAGGGAGGGTGACAGGCAGAGTGGCTTGGAGGCTGGAGAGGTCTCCTGGAGCAGATCACACAGCACCGTGTAGGCTGTGGAGGAGTCTGGTCCTGGAGGGAAGCTATGGCAGCGTGTATTGTGCGGATGCATACACATGCTAGTTCCTCACTGCAGGGCTGAGTTTGGAGAGGATCTGCCACACCACGGCCATCATCGTAAGTGACCATGAAGCAGGAACGGCAAAAGGTTCCATTACATCCTAAACTGAAGGAGAGTTGGGGCCATACATTGAAGAGTCACTCAGACGCAGTGGCTTTAACCAAAAATGGCTGCCTGGGGGCAGATTCAGGGCCTCACTCCGGTCTCCAACCTCCTTCTTTCCATCTTCTCCCTCCCCATGACCCCTTTCTTCTCTTCTCCCCCAGACGTTGGTTGGGGAGGCTGGAGGAGGGCTCATCGACTACCCACTGGGGCGGCCAGCTGTGTCTCCCAAGCCGATGCCAGAGCTGCCTCCCATGGGTGACAACACCAAGTCCCAGCTGGCCGTGTCTGCCAACTTCCTGGGCTCCGTGCTGACTCTGCTGCAGAAGCAGCACGCTCTGGACCTGGACATCACCAATGGCATGGTGAGTCACTGCTCCACTGCGGGGAGGCGGCTGGGCAGCAAACAGCTGGCGGTGACCCTTCTCAGTCCCCACGGGAATTTGCTGTGAAGTGAGAACTGCAGATGGTTCATCCCTTGACTCACCTCCAGCTCATGGGTGCATCAGTTACATGAGCACTTGCTAAAGTGCGGTGCTTGGGAGGATTTCAGGTGGTCCACAGACGTGACACACAACAGCGTCAATTCCCACAATGAGAAAGTTGCTCCCTATTCAATTCTATTTAATTTTATTTCAATTGTTTTTAAAAAGCATAACATATATTCACATATATGTACCTCATTGTAAATGTCCCGAATGCTTTCATTTGGTGAACACTAATACATCAGTGACAGATGACACATAAATAGCACCCTTCGCTGTGCCCCAGAGTCATTTTCTTTCCAAACCTTTTCTTTTGAAAAATTTTAAGCCTTCGGAAAAGTTACAAAATGCTACAACTGATGGACATATATGCTTCCCATACATTCATTAGTTAAAAATTTGCCAGTTTCGTATCTATCTATGCGTCTATTCACCTTCCTACCCACCCACCCTCCACCCATCAACCCACCTATCCACCCACCCACCCATTCATCCACCCATACATCTGTCTATTTATCCAGCCTATCATTCATTCATTCACATATCCATCTCTTCATCCACCAATCCCTCCATCTATCTAGCCATTCATCCACCCAGTCGTCCACTAATCAAACACCCACTCATCCATCTATCCATCAGTTTACTTATCCATCCGCCTATCCACACATCCACCCACCCATCCACCATTAACCCATCCATCTATCCACTCATCCACCCTTCCATCCATCCATCAACCAACCATCCATCTATCCATTCATCCACCTATCCTCTCACCCACCCACTCACCGATGTACCCATCAACCCACTCATCCACCCATCCACTAATCCATCCATCTATCCATTTTTCTATCCATCCAACCATTTATTCATCCATCCATCCATCCATCCACCCATCAATCCATCCATCCATTTGTATGTCCATTCACCCACTCACCCATTATCAATCTGACTGTCTGTCTGCCTTCCTGCCTGTCTGTCTGTCTACCTGTCCATCTATCCTATCTGTTGTTGAACAATTTGAGTTTTTGGAGACATCACGACATTTCATTCCATAAGCTTCACTGTGTATCTCCTAAGAACAAGACATTCTCCACAAAACCATCATACAAATGATGCCAACATTTGCTTCCATTGAGAGAAAAGTCTCCACTTGATGTCCGTGTATAGTTAGCCCTCTCTCGCATTTGTCAGGGTCCCCTTTTTAACTAAGAGAGAACAGAGCTCATGTCCAGAGCTCTCCACAGGCAGTGATATCCATGCAGAAGGTCATGGCATTGTTTTGTTTTTATTGTATTTGGTTTGCAGTTGCCATCTCTGTCAAGTGGTATTGGCTTTCCATTTTTAGTATTTGAGGTCATAAGAAGTAAGTCAATTTAAAGAAGATGCTAAGTAAATAATAGCATAGGTGGTTCAAGGATGTAGCAGAAGTCATGAATTTAGTGGACATTGAATTATGCAAATGGGCTTGATGCTGCTTTCCTTGTTTTAATAAAGAATAACATTTATTTATTTATTTAGAGATGGAGTCTTGCTCTGTCACCCAGGCTGCAGTGCAGTGTCGCAATCTCGGCTCACTGCAACCTCTGCCTCCCAGGTTCAAGCAATTCTCCTCTCTCAGCCTCCGGAGTAGCTGGAATTAGAGAGGTGCACCATCATGCCTGGCTAATTTTTGTGTTTTTAGTAGAGGCGGGTTTTCACCATGTTGGCCAGGCTGGTCTGGAACTCCTGACCTCAAGTGGTCCACCCGTCTCGGCCTCCCAAAGTGCTGGGATTACAGGCGTGAGCCACCACACACAGCCAAGAATAACATTTTTAGAGGAGAAATATTCAGGTTTTGCCTGCTGTTCTTTGAGACAGTCCTTGGTCAGCTTAAGTCAGCCCAGGCCATTTAACCGCAAACCAGCGCCCATGGCCTGCATGGCGGTGATGGCTGGATAGGCAGGGCCTCCCCCCGCAGGGGTCTTTAAGCGGGAGAAGATGCCCTGCTGAGTGTCATAAAACATGTGGGAGTTTAATCACTGTATTAGCAGCTCCTGTCTGTACCCATAGCCCCCAGAACTCACGTGGTCCTTCTTCTTGTCCTATAGTTTGAAGAGCTTCCTCCACTTACCACAGCCACACTGGGAGCCCTGATCCCCAAGGTATGTGAGGTGGGCGGGTCCCACTGACTTCAGCCTCATTCTCTATCTTGTTGTTTGAGAAACTGGATTGGAAGGGAAGATTCTCAGCGCTGGGGTGGGGTGCTCTACCCCCAATCCTTGCTTGGAAATGCAGTGACAGTGACAAGGGCTTGCAGGCTAGACCCCCATGGGTGGGGGTTGGGGGGACACAGAAGGTTGAGGTGGAAAGACCCTGAATTCTATGGGTGATCGATATAGGTCTTATCCTGGCCTGGTCACTTCCGTTGCTGTGTGACTTTGGGCAAGAGTCTTAACATCTCTGAGCCTTAGCTTCCTCATCTGTCAAAAAAGACTGCTGCCACCGATTCCACAGGTTATCATGGGAAGGTAAATGAGATGATGTGTGTAGATACACAATTCCTCTCTCTGAGCTTCAGTTTTCTCATCTGGAAAACCGAGTAACCGTGCTTACTTCACAGGGTGGCTGTGGACCTGGGGTCTGCACCCAGGCAAGGAGCGGGCATTTGATCAATGTTAACTCTTATTACTGTTGTTAATAATTACACGTTGTTTCATTTACAAAAAGAGCAAGTGTGTGTTTGTCCAATTAGCGGCCACATAGAGTTGGAGCAAAGGCCTTTCCCACGCCGGTTCTGGCCGCAGCTCTGGTTCTGGGCCTATTGCTTGCACGTGGAAGCAAAGGGCGCTGTTCCTAGTAAGCGTCACGCAGGTGCGAAGGATGGCTGTGATCTCTGGCCGTTGTAGAATTTACCTCCCTTCTGCCCGCCCTGTTTAGTCCTGGGTGGAATTCAAAGGCTCTAGTGGGAGACCAAACGCAACACGCGCAACACGTGGTCACCATCGCCCCCATGTGGCCACAAGTTGAACATCAGAAGCCTCATTCTCGAATGTGGTAACAGTGGCCGCTCCAGCCAGCAGGTGGACCCCTCAATTGACTGCACCTTTTATTTACTGGGTCACTTCCTATGTGCACTACACTTTACAGCTTATGAAATTGTTTTTTAGAATATATTTTTCTTTCTTTTTTTTTTTTGAGACAGCCTTACTATGTGAGAGTCTTGCTGTGTCACCCAGGCTGGAGTGCAGTGGTGTGATCTCAGTAACCTCCACCTCCCGGGTTCAAGCAATTCCCCTGCCTCAGCTTGCTGAGTAGCTGGGATTACAGGTGCCTGCCATCACACCCGGCTAATTTTGTATTTTGAGTAAAGATGAGGTTTCACTGTGTTGGCCAGGCTGGTCTCGAACTCCTGACTTCAAGAGATCCGCCTACCTCAGCTTCCCAAAGTGCTGGGAGTATAGGCATGAGCCACAGTGCCAGGTCAGAATATACTTTTTCATTTGGTTCTAATCATTCCCTCCATCCGCTGGACCAGAGAGGAGGAGCACACTATTTACAGATGGGGAAACAGAGGCTCAGAGAGGTCACATGATGAGGCAGAGCTGGGGTAGAACAGGGGTTACCGGCGTGCACCATCATGCCTGGCTAACTTTTGTCTTTTTAGTAGAGATGGGTTTTCACCACGTTGGCCAGGCTGGTCTAGAACTCCTGACCTCAAGTGATCCAGTGGCGCTGGGCCTGCAGCAGGCGGATGCAGGCTGGACACAGCAATGTGTCCTGGAGACCTGGACTGCACGGACTTACCAGGAGAGGGGACCTCCTCCCATTTCTTTTAAAAGTAATATTGTGGTTTTGCCCATCGCCCTATCAGTTAACATATTTAAAGTATGCATTTTTGGTAAGTCAGTTATTTGGTAAATACGGCAAACTGTCATTTTACGAATTGTCCCTTTAGTAAATTAGCTTTCATGGAATCAAACTGCAGCAAACAAGCTCAAGCCTCTCCAGCAATCCGGGCCAGGGGGCAGCCTGTGCCTTGCCTGGAACCTCCCTGTGGGATTCTCCAGGTGTGGACGTCTCACTCTGAAACAGTGTTCAGAGTGGGGGCCCGGGCTCTAAGCACACAGACCTGCGCCGGAATCTTAACTTTCCTCCGGGCCTTGGACAATTTCCTTGGCATTCCCCTCTGAGGCCCCGTTTTCTCATCCATAACGTGAAGAAAAAAAATACTCCATAGTTGTTGTCATGATTGAATGAAATTAAGAATGTCCATTCAGCACCTGGCCAGCATTCCCGGGAGACCCCATTCCACTCAGTACCAGGTTTTGAGCATTTCCAGGTGTCAGGCATTGAGCCTGAATCTTGCCGGCATGATCACAGTGAATTCTCCCAGTAACCCCACGTGCAAGGCTTGGAGAGGGCAGCTCCTTTCCCAGTGCTCACAGTGGGTCAGTGGCTTTGCCTGTGGTTTGTTGGACTCAAGCAACAGGACACCTCGGTGCTCTGTGTTTAGAGGTTGGCTGACAACCTCCTGGGTGCCTCCTATGCTAAGGGCCCCGCCCGCCTGGCCTGGTGCCTGCCCACAGGTGTTCCAGCAGTATCCCGAGTCCTGCCCACTTATCATCAGGATCCAGGTGCCGAACCCCCCATCCGTGACACTGCAGAAGGACAAGGCGCTGGTGAAGGTGTTGGCCACTGCCGAGATCATGGTATCCCAGCCCAATGACGTGGAGACCACCATCTGCCTCATTGACGTGGTGAGTGTCCAGAGGTACCGGGGCCCCCAGCTGGGCCTCAAGACAGAGCCACATGATCTCCTGGAGCCCAAAGACCCCTTCAAGTCCCCACAGTCCCCACTAGCATGGCTACAAGCCCAACTTTGGGGCCGGAGGCTCTAGCCCAAATCCGGCCTTTGCCCTTCTAGCTGTGTGACTTTGGGCAAGTCCCCCCTATCTCTGGGTGGAATGTTAACTGTCCTGCTGGCCTTGAACAATTTGCTTGGCATTTCCCTCTGAGCCCCAGTTTTCTCATCTGTAACACAGAGAGAAAATACCACATGGGGTTGTCGTGATGATTGAATGAAATTGAGACTGATTTTCTCCTCTACCACAGCGGGGTGGCAGGAAGGCGTTAGTAAGATGCTCAGAGCAGGGCCTGACATGCCCTAAAGGCTGCCAAAGTGTTAGCTGCTTTTATTCTCACAGGTTGTATCTACCCCAGTGTGCGGCCAAGTCAGCCTCTGTCATTCATTTGGCAATGTTTATTGAGCACCTACTATGTGTTATGCTTTCTACATGATGCTGGGGAAAGGGGAAACAGGAGAGATGGTTCCAGCTCTCTTGTCCCAGTACCTAGCAGGGGACAGATACAAATACAGCAATTTTCACAATTATTTCATAGAAAGGAATCTTCTTAAAATGTGAACCATGGCTCACACCTGTAAACCTAGCTCTTTGAGAGGCTGAGGTGGGTGGATCACTTGAGGCCAGGAGTTTGAGACCAGCCTGGTCGACATGGTGAAACTCCATCTCTACTAAAAATACAAAAATTAGTCGGGTGTGGTGGGGCACACCTGTAGTCCTAGCTACTTGGGAAGCTGAGGCATGAGAATCGCTTAAACCCAGGAGGCGGAGGCTACAGTGAGCCGAGATCATGCCACTGCACTCCAGCCTGGGTGACAGAGCAAGATTCTGTCTCAAAAAAAAAAAAAAAAAAAAAAAAAAAAAAAAAAAAAAAAAAAAAAAAAGAAAGTGAACCATATTCCTCCTCTGCATTCCTTCAATCCTGAAATAAAATCCAGTCTCCTGTCAATGGCCCACAAAGTCCTCATGAGCATCCCCTCATCGCCTCTGGGCTCCTCAGTGTTCCTCCTACATATCAGGCACCGTCTGAACTCAGAGCCTTTGCACATGCTGTTCCCTCTGCCTGGAATGCTCTTCCCCTAGGTATCTGCATGGCTCACTTCCTTTTTTTTTTTTTTTCCTTTGAGACAGAGTCTCACTCTGTGGTGACACCCTAGGCTAGAATCTAGCTTAGGACCCAGCACATAGTAGATGCTCAGTAAACACTGGTCAGAGGAATGTGTTAAATTGTGTTAAATGCCATTTCCCCCACCATGGTTAAGGCTTCAGGCTTCAGACTCAGATACTTGAGACTCTGGTCCCACCTGCTGTCTTCCTGCTAGCCCCTCCTACTCCCCAGAGCTCGAGACCAAATAAGTCACCTCTAATTGGGAATCAGGCGCTCTAGGCTGGAGCATGCCAAGCCACAAAGTATGGGGGATCTTCTGGGGCCTTATAAGATGGGAGGTTTAAAGGGTCAGTTCTAACCCAGGAGTGGGAATGGCTGTCCCAAGCTGTCCCCCATCGATTAGCCTCTACCATGTGGAGATTTTGCATCAACAGCCCAGAGGCTTGTATGAGCCAGCCCGGCATCCTGCAATGACTCCTGCTGCCCCAGGGATGCCACCCTGACTCCTGCCCAGCCCACAGCTCTGCCTGGTTTGGCCGCATTCCAGTCCAGCCTCACGAACCCTCTCACCTCCTTGCTCTCTGGGCTCCTGTTTACCTCTCTAATGCCAACCGAACTCCTTCCCTCCAGAGGGTGTGCAAATCCATTACATGGTGCGTGTTAAGCAGGAATCTCATGCTTATAAAAGGTCGGAGCCAGGTCCTGGGAAACAACCTGCTCTCATGCTCAAGGTTAAAGGAGCCCTAGCTAGCACCCAGCACACAATGAGCCCTCGGCAAGCACCGGCCAAGACATGATGGCAGTGACGTCTTTCTCCTTTCCTTTCCCTCCAGGACACTGAGCTCGTGGCCTCGTTTTCCGTAGAAGGAGATAAGCTCATGATTGATGCCAAGCTGGACAAGTAAGGGGCTGTGCTGCCTTGGGGTCCTGCCTGGGCTGGTGCTGCTCACGCAGGAGTCACCAGGGAGTGGGTACAGGTCTCCTGTGTGGATGTCAGGGCTGGGTAAACCCAAGAAGCTGCAAAGGTTATGACAGCTCATGCCTGCCAAGACCACTGTCACAAGCCAGGCAGGGTGGGTGAGGCCATGAACTTAGAAAGAAACTGCTGCCCAAAACCACAGCTCAGTGATGATAACGCTGCTGGGGGCCGGCACGGTAGTTCATGCCTGTCATCTCGGCGCTTGCGGAGGCTGAAGCCGGAGGACTGATTGAGGCCAGGAGTTTGAGATCAGACTGAGAAATGTAGCAAGCCTCCATCTCTACAAAAATAGAAAAATTACCTGGGCATAGGTGCACACTTGTAGTCCTAGAAAACCTTAGCCGGGCGGGGCATCATGTGCCTGTCATCCCAGCTACTCAGGAGGCTGAGGCAGGAGCCCAGGAGCTCGAGGTTGTGGTGAGCTATGATTGTGCCACTGCATGCCAGCCTGGGCAACAGAGCGAGACCCTGTTTCTAAGTCATAATAATGAGGAGGAGGACGAGGAGGAGAAGGGGAGAAGGATGCTGTGATGATGGCCTACCAGGCTCTGCTTTAGGCACTCGATAGCACGTCTTATCTCCCCTCCGATGGTCCCAGTGGAAGTAAGGGCTATCATTCTCCCTTTGTAGGGAGAAAGCTAGGGCTGGAAACAGTGGATTCAGTCACCCAGGGCCACCCAGCAAGTGTACAGAGGGGCCGTGACGCAACCCAGGTTCGTGTGACCTGCTGCACTGGATGGGTACAATCACGGGCTTTGGAGCTAAGCAATGTGGGTTCAAATCCTTACGTGATGACTGACTCACTGTGTGACACTGGCCGACCAACTTCACCTCTGAGCCTCAGTTTTCTCATCTGAAAATGGGGATAATAGTCACCACTTCATAGGATTCATAAAAAGAATAATTATTATTCATTGGATGCTTTCTGTGTGCCAGGTATTTGGCTAAGTCCTAGATGTGTCTTCATTTCATTCTTTCTTTATTTTTTCCTTTGAGACAGGGGCTTGCTCTGTGGCCCTGTCATGGAGTGCAGTCATGGCTCACTGCAGCCTTGACCCCCCCAGCTCAAGCAATCCTCCCACCTCAGCCTCCCAAGTAGCTGCCATTACAGGTGTGCGCCACCACACCCCGCTAATTTTTGTATTTTTAGTAGAGATGGGGTTTTGACACGTTGGCCAGCCTGGTCTTGAACTCCTGGGCTCAAGAGATCTGCCCGCCTTGGCCTCCCAAAGTTCTGAGATTATGGGCATGAGCCACTGTGCCCAGCCTTCCTTTAATTCTTGATATCAGCCTCTGGAAATAAGTACTATCATTATTTCCATTTCAAGATTAATTAAGGTCATATATAAAATTTGTAGCACGTGACTAGATCATTGTAAGCTTTTCTTTTACAAGCAATATTTCTTAAGCCCACTAATGGCAGTCACTCATGATTAATATGGGGCACATCAGAGACATCCAGGAGTTCCCAACGAGGCCAGACTCAGCCTGTGGCCTGGATGAGGACTAGGGGCCAGCTCTGCACAGAGATGGGGGTCTCCCACAGAGAGAAGCGCAGGCCAGCTTAGCAGAGAGGAAAAGGGCACAGACACTGGGGGGCGCGGTGGCAGAGGGGAGAGAGAGCTGGGAGAGGAAGTCAGGAAGGACGAAAACATGTCCAAAGCGGAGAGTCTTCCTTCCTTAGAAGGTGCCTTTATTGGCGGGGTGCCGTGGCTCACGCCTGTAGTTCCAGCACTTTGGGAGGCCGAGGCAGGTGGATCACCTGAGGTCAGGAGTTGGAGACCAGCTGACCAACATGGTGAAACCCCGTCTCTACTAAAAATACAAAAATTAGCCGGGCGTGGTGGCCAGCGCCTGTAGTCCCAGCTACTCGGGAGGCTGAGACAGGAGAATCGCTTGAACCTGGGAGGCAGAGGCTGCAATGAGTTGAGATTGTGGTACTGCACTCCAGCCTGGGCCACGGAGCAAGACTCTGTCTCAAAAAAAAAAAAAAAAAAAAAGAAGGTGCCTTTATTTCCCTCCTGCTGGACACTGAGCTGATGCTGCTGAACAGCCCCGAACAGTTTCCGCACCACGGGCAAGCCCGGTCTGGCCTCTCTCGGGTAGGACTGTCAGTTGCAGGTGAGATTCGGGTGCAGCAAGACTGAGGCCCTTACAGTGCAGAGCGAGACCTCAAACCCAGGCCTCGGCCTCTCGTCTCAGAACAGCACAACAGCGAGAGTGCAGGTTGCAGGTGCGAGGCTGGGCCCTCCCTGCCTGGCTCCGCCGCTGCAGCGTTACCCTGGAGCCTCAGGCTCCTGCTCTGCGGGATCACTGGAAGGATTGATTCCAGAAGGCGGCGGCAATCACCCTTGTGTGCTTTTCGCGAATACCCCCTTTAGTCCTAGCAGCCGCCCACTTTGCAGCTGAGGAAACTGAGGCATAGAAAGGGGAAACTACTTTGACTAAGGCCACACAGCCAGTAGGTGGCCAAGCTATGATTTGAGCCTTCGCTGTATGGTGCATGAAGCCCTTAGCGTCGTGTCTGCTGTGTAGTTAGCTGGGCATGTGAGAGCCAGCATTGTTTTTATTAAATCCCTGCAGATGGAGAGTGTTGGCGAGGTTAGGGGAGGGGCTGCTCACGATTTGTCACAATGGAAGAGCCTTATGATTTGCAGGCAGTCCCTGCTTCTCACAGGCTGTTTTCTTCATCTGCAGGACCAGCCTCAATCTCAGAACCTCAAACGTGGGCAACTTTGATGTAAGTACCACTCAGGTCCCAGAGCGAGATCTTCTGGGAAGGAGCCCAGGATGGGTCTTCCGGGAATGATGTTCCTGTGAGGCTGGCTGGGCGTGGGGAGTTTGCAAATTCCAAAGGGTTCACGTCAACACAGCCCTCATTTTGCAGACGGCCAGATGGAGAAACTGAGGCCCGCAGGCAAGTGAGGGACAGAAAACAGACTTGCAGCTCCTTCTGCTCTGCCTCGGGCGCCGTCCCATGTTAACTGGCTGCCCCATGGGGGGCCACTTCAGGGTAGGGAGGCATGGTGGCAGCTTGTCCTACAGGACCCCTTTCCTCCTGGAGTTAGGAACCCACTGACCCCTGTGTGTCCTTGGGCAATATCAACCCACTCTGAGCCTCAGTTTCCCCATCTGTAAAATGAATAAAATTTGACTTCATTTCTAATCGCTCTTATATCCCCTAAGTTGTGGAATTCTGCTTTTCCAAGGGTCCAGGAATCTGAGATGGTCACATTCTAGGGTTGGGTCCTGTTTTATCCCTTTGTTCACTCCTGGACCCCCCACCCCCACCTAAGGCTTCAGAAGCACTTCTTTTTGGCTGTTTTTTTTTTTTTCCTTTTTATAAATTGACAACTAAGCAACTGCTAGCTTTCTGGGACAAGCTTGGATGAGATTTCCACATGTGCAGAAAAAGTCAAACCCATTCATTGTGTTGCTTATTTCATAGCTTTTCTAAACCAAAAAGCTGCAGCCTGTGAAGCCGGTCTCACCAGCTTCATTTGATAGAGGAGAAGCTGCCCAAGGCTTCCCAGCTGGCTGGGGCAGAGTTGGGACTAGAACTGAAATCTCTGGACTCCAAGTGGAGAACGGGGTTGACAGAGTGAAATCATTGAATATTTATGAAGCTAGAGAGATGTGCCCTAGGCACTGAATTATGCTCTTTTTCCCTTGTAATGAGGTTTTCTCATTTAACCCTTACCACCTTGTTATGATTTGGATATTATTATTAAGCTCATTTTTCCAAATAAGGAAGGTAAGCTCGCGTGACTCGCCCAAGGCAACAGAGCCGGGAAGAGGCCCTGCCGGAGAGTGAGCCCACGTGCTCACGCTGTGCAGATCGGAGCGTCAGACATTTTACATACAGGGGCTTATGTCTGATTTTTATAACCACCCTATGAGGCAAGGGTTACTCACTCTCATTTTCAGATGTGGCAACCAAGGCTTAGAGAAGTTAAGGGTGGTAACGTAGGAAAAGGTTCAAGGCCAGGAGTTTGACGTGGTCTACCCACCGTCCTCACTGTATCCTTGCAAACTCAGCTCACTGACCCATTTTACAGCTGAGGCAGCTGAGGATTAGCGAAGTGAAGGAGCCTGCCCAGAGGCCCACAGAGGCTGAGCTGGGAGGGGAAACTGGGGTGTTGTCTCCAGGGCCATTAGGTCTTCTGTGATGCCATGACAGCGCTGTCAGGGCCAGGCTGCCCTGAACCGGGTGCTCTGGGCCTCCCTCAATCCCTGCTTCATAGGGCCCTTGGACCAGCATCCACGGTGGACCTCAGCTTGCCCATCTCCACGATGTGCAAGTGGATGGGGGGGCACCTTAAGGCTGCCAGTGAGGAATTCTGGGGTCCCAGGGGTTCTGACTGCCAGGATCCAGACTCTCCCAGAGCCACTCTGTGTCTCCATCTTGAGCCAGGGGAGCAGACCCAAGGGGCCCTCTGGAGCTGAGCAACCCCCCTGCCTGGGCTCAACCCTCCTTCTTCCTCTGCAGATCAGCCTCATGGAGGTGCTGGTGGAGAAGATTTTCAACCTGGCATTCATGCCCGCGATGAACGGTGAGAGCGGGGACTTGTGGCTTGGGCTCTGTCTGGGGAGTACCGGCTTGCTGGGCATGCTGGATATGCATCTATCCCATCGCAATAGTATTTCTGAGCGCTGCCTTTGAAGTGTGTTGATGACAGCCTCCAAATGTACATGTTGTTCCCAAAGCTCTGTCACCTTCCTTATTTGCTTCTTTCTTGCTTGGCTGATCATTTTCTTTTTCTGATTATCTATGAAAATTCTGATTATATATGAACATTATATGTGCGCAAATTTTAGAAACTGTAGAACAATCAAACCTCCCAGAGAAAATGAATTTCAACATTTGAATACATTTCTTTCTCAACTCTTTTTTCCCCATTCTTTCCCATATGATTGAGATATTTCCTGACTCATATTTAAACATGTGTTTCTATTTAATTATAATTATATGGGAACTACAGGAATACGTTCTTATTGTGAAAAGTTCCCTTGGCACAGGTAAAGCTAAAGTTGCTCTCACCGCACCCCCGAGTCCGCCCCCTGGGCAGCCATATCGAGTTAGGAGGTTTTCTTGTCCGGCTTTATAAACGGAGCAGACTGGGCTTACTTTGCTCTCTGTGGCATCTCGGGAGTGTTACTGTGAAGGCTGCTGGTTGAACTGTGGGGGTCACCGGTCCTCACACACGGGGACTGGAACCCCTGCCCAAGCCCTCTCCTAGGCCCCTGGACCCCAGGCTCTCCTACTCCTGCTTCCTGGATGAGAAGTCAAGGGAGGCTGGCTCGTCCCAGCTGATGTCATCAGCTACACCAGAGGGGGTTCTTTTGGAGTGATCTTGATGTCAAACAATCCCTTGTTCTGGACCCTGTGGCCAGAGGAGGCTGAGTCTCACTGGTGGGGAAAGTGGTGGTTCCTCCGTGAGACAGGATGGGGTCAGAAGCTGGGCTGGGCCGACCTGATCACTAAGAGTGGTGTGAACTTGGAGGCGAGCCCTTTAATCACACTGAAATGCAATTCACCATTTTCAAAAATGAGAGCTTGCACTAGGTCCGTATCCCCAAAGTGAGCTCCATAAAGCGGTCCCACAAAACACCCCGCAAAAAGGGTTCCACGGCTGAGCAAGCTTGGGAAGTGCTGAAGATATTCCCGCGGGGTCGATTCAGTGTCCTTGGCTTTTTGAAAATCCTGCTGGAAACGGGAAGCCTGTTAAATTTCACTTAATTTACTTCCCCCATCCACCCTTTCCTACCCCACTTCTTTCTTTTCTCTCTTGCTTCTTGCTCTCTTTCTAGAACGGTAGTTAGCAGGTTTACTTAGGCTCTGACAATCTGAAGACAAACAGCACATCCCATGGCAGCCAGTCGTTGGGGCTCCACGTGCACCTTTCCATTACTTCACTCCACAAACATCTGCCATTTCCTCTGTGACCAGGCAAAGGGCTGGCGGATGCCGGGGACATGGTTCTTTTTCTTTTTTGAGACAAAGTCTCACTCTGTGGCCCAGGTTGGAGTGTGGTGTGCAGTGGCACGATCTCAGCTCACTGCAACCTCTACCTCCCAGGTTCAATAGATTTTCCTGCCTCAGCCTCCTAAGTAGCTGGGATCACAAGCATGCACCACCATGCCCAGCTAATTTTTGTATTTTAAATAGAGACAGGTTTTCGCCATGTTAGCCAGGTTGGTCTCAAACTCCTGAACTCAGGTGATCCACCCACCTCGGCCTCCCAAAGGGGCACAGTTCTTGCCTTCAAAGAACTCAGAATGTGGTGGGAGTGACAGATACAGACACACAGACTTAATATTTGATGGTTTCTCTAACTGAGCAGTTCAGAGGTGGGATGGGGGTGCTGCAGGAGCCTAGAGTTGTTTGGGGGCCAGAAAGCCTCACAGAGGAGGTGACATCTGAACAGTCTCAGAGAGGACTCAGAACTCACCAGGGATGTGATGGTGAGAGAATATGCGCCAGGCGGGAGGGACTGCAAGGACAAAGGCCTAGAGGCATAAAAGAAATTGCCAGGGCTGGGTGCGGGGTTTACATCTGTCATCCCAGCACTTTGGGAGGCTGAGGCAGGTGGATCCTGTGAGGTCAGGAGTTCAAGACCAGCCTGATCAATATGGTGAAACCCCATCTCTACTAAAAATACAAAAATTAGCCAGGCATGGTGGCAGGAGCCTGTAATCCCAGCTACTCAGGAGGCTGAGGCAGGAGAATTGCTTGAACCCAGGAGACAGAGGTTGCCGTGGGCCAAGATTGAGTGTCTGCACTCCAGCCTAGGCGACAGAG